CTTAAAGTCTTCAAAGATTAAATTTTTAAAAAGAAATTATGTGAGCTTATATATGCATAGCAGTCAAATATCCACTAATGAGAATCTGGAGATAATAGGAGAGAGATGCCAATACTGGAGGTACCGATTCACAGGTGATCCAAAGAAGATAACGGAACATACGGCAAATGATGGGTTTACTATTAAGCTACCAGAGGAAAAAGCAAGAATTTCAGTTCTAGGAAATAGAAAGCTGATAGGAGACCATTTAAAAAGCATAGAAAGGAGAAAGTGGGGAGGCAGGAGATTAACTAGCAGTTTATAATGACACAAAATCCACTGGATGGTAGTAGGAGCACCTTCCTAAAGGAAGGGCTATATCAACAAAGAACTGGGTAAATACAATATTACTAGACCATCCAGGCATTACATGTCTATGTAGTTGTTAAAAAAAGGATGAGGTCAATCTGCATGTAGTAACATTGGAATATTTTTACTTTTTATTTTGTTGCTGTTTTTATTAATCCTCAGCCAAGGACATTTTCCCATTGATTTTTAGAGAGAGTGGAAGGGAGGGGGAGAGACACACAGAGAGAAACATCGATGTGAGAGAGACACACTCACATCAATTGGTTGCCTCTCGCATGTGCCCCAACTGGAGCCAAGGATCGAGCCTACAACTGAGGTACATGCCCCTGACCAGAATCAAACCAGGGACCCTTCAGTCCTTGGCCTGATGCCCTATCCACTGAGCCAAACCAGCTAGGGATGAAATTTTTTAAAAATTTAATTTATTGGGGTGACATCTATATATATATAAAAGCCTAAGTGACCAAATGACCGAATGACAGGTCGACCGGTCGCTATGACGCACACTGACCACCACGGGATAGATGCTCAATGCTGGAGCTGCCTGCTGGTGGTCAGTGCACCCCCACAGCCAACCTCCCATGGCTGGCCAACCTCCTGCAGTCCCTCCCTCTGGCGATCAACCCCAATTGCGGGCCAGGCCAAGGGATCCCACCTGTGCACGAATTTGTGCACTGGTCCATTAGTTAGTTAATAAAATTATATAGGTTTCAGGTGTAAAATTCCTGTTATACATCATCTGTATAATGTATTGTGTGTTTATTACCCCAAGTCAAGTTTCTTGTAGCACCATTTATCCCCCCTTTACTCTCCTCTACCTCCTACCACCCTCCTCTCCCTCTGGTAATCACCATACTGTTGTCTGTGTCTATGACTGTGTTTTTTTCTTTAATCTCTTCACCTTTTTCACCCAGCTTCCCAAACCCTCCTCCCCTCTAATAGCCTAACATTGAAAAATTTATACAAAAAAGATAAAGAATAAAATATCATAATTAGTATCCTAACATTTGTATACAAAATAAGAGATATACTCTTTGGATTGACACACAAGAAGCTGACAATTGTAATTGCTGCTGGGGAGGGGACCTGAGAGCTGGAGATCAGATAGGAGGAGAGGTTTAATTTTCAATGCATACCTTTTTGTACCATTTACACTTTTTACCTGTATACAATTTTTTAAAAAATGAACTACTAAAAAAGAGAAGAGATTAGTGAACAGGGTCAAATACTGTATTTTTTCAGAAAGTAAGTTCAGTTGAGTCATTTGATATTGAGAGAAAAAACTATATTGTAAGTGGCTGGAGAGCATACTTCAAAAAGACAAAGAATTTGTCCTGAAATAGTTGAGATTTGATGGAATAAATTTGTGAACTGATCAGTTGTGTGTATTCACATATATGCATGTACATATATATTTAACATATACATATATACCTTTCTCTAGTTATAGGAAAGGCAATAATGGATTTTATCTGGAACTGGCAATTGGCAAGTAGGATGTGACAGAAAGAGAAACTGTTGAGAAATTTGAGAGTGCTGCTAAGAACACTTGACAGTGAGTAGAGGGTACACAGGGTGGAGACAATAAGATGAGAATTGGGGATAAGCTAAGAATTGATGACATCATAATAGAAATAGCATGAAGAAATTTTGACATGAGGGAAGGAAACCATCAACAAAGTGAAAAAGACAACCTACTGAATGGTAGAAAATATTCACCAATGATACACCTGATAAAGGATTAATATCCAGATTAACCAAAGAATTTATATGCATATATGCATAACCCATGGACAAACAATAGTGCAGTGAAAGCCTGGAAAGTGGAAGGAATCCAGGTGAAAGTGGTCAATGGGGGGGAAAAAGGGACATCTCTAATACTTTCATTATAAAGAAAAAAAGAAAAGAAAAAAAAAAGGAGTTATACAACTTAACATCAAAAAGCCAAATAATCTGATTAAAAAATGAGGGAAGGGCCTGAATAGATATTTCTCCAAAGAGGACATACACATCAGTAGACACATGAAAAGATGCTTAACGTCACTAATCATCAGAGCAAATTAAAATTACAATGAGATATCACCTTGCACCTGTCAGAATGACTATCATCAATAAAATGACAAACAAAAGTGTTGGCGAGGATGTGGAAAAGGGGAACTTTCGTGCAGTGTTGGTGGGAATGCAAATTGGTGCGGCCACTACGGAAAATAGTATGGAGGTTCCTCAAAAAATTAAAAATAGAACTATCATATGACCCAGCAATCCCACTTCTGGGTATTTATCCGAAGAAATCCAAAACACTAATTTAAAAAGATATCTCCACCCCATTGGTCATTGCAGCATTATTTACAATAGCCAAGATATGGAATCAACCCAAGTGACCATCAATAGACTAGTGAATAAAAAAGTAATGGTACATATATAGAATGGAATATTATTCAGCTATAAAAAAGAATGCAACAACATGGATGGACCTAGAGGGTATTATGCTAAGTGTAATGTCAGACATAGGAAGACAAATAACATATGATTTTACTTATATGTGGAAATTAAAAAGTGATATAAATGAACATACAAAACAGAAACAAACTAATAGATGCAGAGAACAAACTGATGGTTGCCTGATAGGAGGGGGCTTGGGGGCTGGGAAAAGAAGTGAAAGGATTACAAAGTACAAGATGGTACTTACAAACTAGTCATGGGGATGTAAAGTACAACATAGGAATATAGTCAATAATCTATAATAATAAAAGCGTGATATGCTAACTAGACCAGATGGACGGCCAAATGACCTTCCGGATGACATTCCGAATGATCTTCCAGACGAAGTTGGGGCTGTGAGGCCGAGGCAAGCCACCGCAGCTGTGAGGGCCGAGCCCCTTGCATGAATTTCGTGCATTGGGCCTCTAGTCCTATATAATAAAAGGCTAATACGAAAATTGTCCCCACCAGCAAGAGTTCAACCGACTGGGAGTTAGACGTGCACTGACCACCAGGGGACGGCATGAAACATGACTGGCGTCAGTGACATGGCACTGGCAGCAGGCAGCAGTGGAGGCACTGCCGACCCCAATGGGCCCTGACGAGAGCAGGACTGCGGCAGGATGGTGGATCAGGTGAGCAGGCGGCACCAGGCCAAGGCGGGTGCAAGTGAGGGCCCTGATCACCCTGCCAGTTGCTCCACAGACGGTGACCAGCAGCAGTGGCAGGGGGCAGGGCCGGCAAGCGGGCAGTGCCAGGCCAAGGCAGGTGCCAGTGGGGACCCCAATCACCCTCCAGTCACCCCACAGATTGGCCCTGATTGCTATCCAGGCCTAGGGACCCTACCTGTGCACAAATTTCTTGCACTGGGCCTCTAGTATTGTAATAACTATGTATGGTGCCAGGTAGACTTATTAGGGGAATCACTTCCTAAGTTATATAAAAGTTGAACCATTATGCTGTACACTGAAACTAATATAATGTTGAATGTCAACTGTAATTTTAAAATAAAAAGGGGATAAAATATGACTTAAAATATTAGTTTTTAAGTCAAAATTTCAAAAGGTATAGGGTAAAAAGTAAGATTCATTCTCAAAAGGCAATTGCTTATTTTTAGTTTTCTGTATATCTGTAGAAACATTCTATGTATAAGCAAATGCCTTTAAAAATACAAATTGGACTATATTATGTTCTTACTAAAGAATGTATTTTGGAGATTTCCTCTTATTATTAGACATTAAACTACCTCACTCTAACAACTGCATAGTATTTTACAATAGGGATATTCTCTCATTTGTTTAGCCAGTGTCCTGTTTGTGAATTTCCCTCCACTTGTTTACGTTCTTTTTAAAAAACAAAAACATTTTTATTGATGTCAGAGAGGAAGGGAGAGAGAGAAACATCAATGATGAGAGAGAATCATTGATCAGCTGCCTTCTGCACGCCCCCTATTGGGGATTGAGCCTGCAACCCGGGCATGTGTCCTTGACCGGAATTGAACCTGGGACCCTTCAGTTCGAAAGCCGATGCTCTATCCATTGAGCCAAACCAGCTAGGGCTTGTTTACGTTCTTAATGTTGCTACAAATATATTTTCACATGTCTGTGCACAGGTGCAAATATATCACATGGATAAATTTATAGAAATGAAATTGTTGGGTAAAAGGATATGAATATTAAAACAAAAACTTTGACGGAGACTGGGAAATTGCCCTAAACATGTTTACAGTCTCACCAATAGTATATGAGAGTGCCTGTTTATACAAAACCTTGCCACTAAGTGTTTGACTGATTTTTTTTACTTTTGTTAATTTGAGAGAGAAAATGGTTTTAACTTGCATTTTTAAAAACTTTGAGTACAGTTAAGAAATAATACTTCTTAAAAATGACAATTAATGATAAAATTGAGAACTTTCTAAATTGTATCTGACTTTGGGTCTCTTTTGGGAGAGAGGCCCCAGAGAATTTAGTTATAAGAATAAATGTACATTGATAGGGCTCTTATATAATGTGGAGTGCTAAACTATTTTAACAAGAGACAGTTTCATAGATAGGTTTCATTTTTTGAAAAAGGGGAAGAAACACCATTCTGTGGCTCGGTTTGGGTTTGTCAGTTATTACCTCCCCCTCCTTTCTGGGACTTCCCACTGTTCTTTAGAACAAATCAGACGAGCAAAAACAACTCTTTTTCCATTGGATCAGTCATAAAAAAAGTGGAAATGCAATGAGCAGCTTCGTTTCTTGGTTTTTAGCAGCGAAAGGAATACTCACCAAAGGCTTGTGAACATTGCTGGATAAATCACTGGCTGGCTTATTCATCTTCATATGGTCAATCGTGTTTCTGCAGGACCAAAGGAGCAGATTGGTTAGTGAAG